ACACACACACACACACGCTATACTTTATATAACCATTGATTAATTTTCTTGTCGGCTTAGTCACTTTATTAATCCGGGGTCGCCACAGCAGAATGAACCGCCAACTTATCCAGCAAGTTTGTTACGCAGTGGATGCCCTTCCAGCCGCAACCCATCTCTGGGAAACATCCACACACACATTCACGGACACGCTCACACAATATGGAAAATTTAGCCTACCCAATTCACCTGTACCGCATGTGTTTGGACTGTGGGGGAAACCGGAGCACCCGGAGGAAACCCACGCGAACATGCAAACTCCACACAGAAGATGCTGTCATGACTTTACAATCAGTAAATGTGCTTATAAAGGAAGTCAATGGAGCAAAAACAGCACCAACATCACCAAAGGGGAGTCAGTCTGAACAGAGTGTGTGGAGTTCATTTCAAAGCATTTTCCTAAAACATGTCAAAATAAAATTTGTCTCCTAAAATCATCACATTTGCTGAAACACAGAGAAAGATGTGGCCAAATGAAGCATCCAAATCAGCCCAGACTGGATGAAAACGACCCAACAGCATTCATTCATTCTTTTTCTTGTCGGCTTAAACCCTTTATTAATTTAGGGTCGCCACAGTGGAATGAACCACCAACTTATCCAGCTTATGTTTTACGCAGAGGATGTACACAACGCACAATTTAGCCAACCCAATTCCCCTGTACCGCATGTGTTTGGACTGTGGGGGAAACCGGAGCACTTGGAGGAAAGCCATGCAAACATGGGGAGAACATGCAAACTCCACACAGAAATGCCAACTGACCCAGACAAAACTCGAACCAGCGACTTTCCTGCTGTGAAGCAACAGCACTATTTAAACAACCTTTACTGTCTGCTGTGTATTTAATACGCTGTAAAGATTATTCTGCGTTATTGAAACATCAAGGAGGACGCAGCAGAGAAAAGTCACTTATAAATTAAAACTTTATTATTTCATGCAACAGCCTTACATTTAAAAGGGAAACATGAGGGCGATCATACGCAAAAAGACCCCAGACTATAAGGCTAGATGTTTTCTTCCCCTTATTTATTTATTTATTTATTTGTTTACGTGTTTGGCGCATGTAACTCGTGTGTGATCGGAAAACTAGTGTAATGACGGCACGCCATCTTTCCCAGACTCGGGGCAAAGTTTGCCTTTCCTTTCACTCCACCCAGAAGCCCCAGCTGGCCCTTCTTGGTCCAAGGTATTCGGCGGGGCGAAAAAGGTCGGCCGCTGGCTATGAGAAAGCCCCGCTTTGGTCCGATTAGGCCCCGGAAGTGACAATGGAAACGCGACTGGCCTTGGCTCGCTCGCTTTAGGCAGGATAGTGGAAATGCGGCTACTGCTCAACCTCCCGGGCGATTGGCCCGGCCCAGCCTGATAAAAGCCCTGGCTCGCACCGGCCCGACAGTGGAAATGCGGCTAATGTCAGAGTTATAGGCCTGAAAGGGAACTTTAATTTTAATTATGAGAACTAAAAGTCTACATTAACCAGAAGCTGCGACCAAATTATTATGATTTTTTGTATTGTGTCATATTTCCTCGAGAAACGAAACATTAAATGAGATAACAGTGGGCGTGGCTTGTTTTTTCTGCTGCAAGCTGATTGGATGTAATAAAGTAGGCGTTTCATTCAGAAAGATGGGGGAAAGTGAGGAGAGTTATTGCAACCTAACAGACTCAGGGGCGCAACTGCACATTTACTGATGGGTATGCGGCTTCAGCTTTTGCGCGCCCCTTCAATCCAACTATATTTTATAACAGGCAAGTGATAAAATGTGGAAAATATTTCCATCAATAAATGAAAGATATTTTTTCATAAAGATATCAATATGCTTCAAAAAATACAGTTTGGCAGTTCTGAACACACCTGAAATAGTGGTAAAAGGTATAATTACATGAAGCATGTTAAGTCGCAAAGAAATGCATCTCATATCACCCCACATTTCTTCTCAGTTTAATTTTCCCTCACTAAATGATTATAGCACCTTGACTAGCCTTGCTTTTGGACTTTTTGTACATTTGTCAAAACAAAATGAAAGACATGAGAGTCCTAAAGGGCAAAAGAACATTGCAGTTACTTCTGACATGCACACTGTGAGAAGTGTAAGGTCTGTCTCTGCAAGAACAATTGACTGAAACTGCTAAAAGTGAAATAAAAAAGACTGTCAAATGTTTAATGTAAAAAACAGAACAAACAAATGTTCTATTTAATTGAAATGTTATAACTTTGTTTGTAGCTAAAAGTAAAATAGTTTTGAGCTAAGAAGTTAGCAAAAGGCCTGATGAATCAATATGATGCATAATAAATTCATAAAAACATGTATGTGGTATGTAAAATGGGGGGGAGGGGTGGAATGATTTTTTTATTTAATAAAATACAATATTATACACGTATAAAATGCTAAATAAACATTTTTAACAAAAATATTTATATATTATTTGAAACTTTTATTATGGATAATTTCAAAAATAGTTTTGGCACAATGGCGCCCCCCATGTGTGGTGCCCCATGCACCACATATATATCCAGCTGCAGGCCCGCAGAACCACACACGTTTTAGGCACACACAATCTAGGCAAACCATATATGGTTATGACAGATGTTAATGTTATAAACGTCTTTTTGAACATCGTCATCGATATATTTTGATATATATGATTAATAAATATTGTACTCAATAAACAATAGTGTTTACTTTATTTCACAATTATTGGGATCGAGACAGCCGAATGGGGAGCATTGATTTCGATCGCCATTTAATATAATAGAGGGAACAGTTTTTAATCAGTCATTATAGCTGATCAGTCATTATTATCTGACAATAATATGGCAGATACTCGTTTGCTGGCCTTGCTGAATGATCTCATTTGGACAGGTTTAATTTATATAATGGATTAATTTATGAAGAAAGAAATAATAGCAAGTTAATATAGGCAATAATAAATTATATGTTATAAAAATATTTTTACATGTAACAAATGTATAACACTATATTAATATTTACTCAAACTATTTAATGGTGTTTATTAGCTTAATTTTCTAATAACCTTTTAATTAATGATTTCCCACATTTGATACTGTAGTAATTTATAGTAAGCAATAAATTGTTTTTAAACCAAAATTGACTATTTGACTATTTGAACAAATTGACTATTTATAATAAAAAATCATAAGTAAATTTATATATATATATATATATATATATATATATATATATATATATATATATATATATATATATATATATATATATATATATATATATATATATATATATATATATATATATATATATATATATATATATATATATATATATATATATATATATATATATATATATATATATATATATATATATATATATATATATATATATATATATATAT